GTGCTGCCAACTTTGGAAAAAGTCATCCCAATTTACTGTGTTGACTTGGCATTGTACAGAAATGGACAACCATATTGGTCTAGAAATGTTAATTTATTTTTATTTTTATTTTTTTCCATGTGTACAGGGGTAACACATCGTACTAAATATGTAAGGTCATATCTACGTGGGTTTGATTACAGAAACTAATAAAGTATTCTCTAAATAATGAAAAAAAAGAATAGGATAAGACTATAAGAGAGAGAAGCAATTTAAATATGTTCAAGGACCATTTTCATCTCAGAATTAAAGATTATTTTGATGTTACATCATTGCCTTTTCTCTTTTACTTTCCTTTTTAGTTTTATTTTAGGATTCCCTATTTTTAATGTTCATACAGAGATTTCTTTAACTGAAATACCGAATAGTCTCTTTGGTGTGAAAAACTACAATAGTACACGGGATCCTAATGAGATAATTAATAATGTGAAATAGAAAGTAAGGGCTAAAGGTGTAGGGAAAGTGGGAAGGGTGGGGGAAAGGTAATAAGGGAGAGGAAAAAAATATGAGAAACTGAAAAAATGGAAATAAAGTGTTTGTAAATGGGGAGGGGAGGAGGCGGTGAAGGGAGGGCAGGGACAAGGGGAAAAAATGAGAATCAAGACCTATTATGTAAAGGTACAGGATTCCAATGATGAATGTAATTGTATTGTATACCTAGATTGTACCAATAACCTCAATAAAAAGAAAAAAAAAAGGGAAGACCTCCAGTCACATAAAAAAAAAAAGAAATTAGGAATAACTTCAATTTCTTAAGCACATGATGCCTGAATGCATCCTATGTACAAGGAAATATTTATGTGACATTGAGAATATGTTACCCAAAGCTAAATGTGAGGATAAAAGTTGTCTCAGTCTGCCAACATGAATACGTTACCTGTAGGACGAGTGCTTGTGTGTCTCTTTGGCAGTGCTCAGAACTGTCTTCCTTCTCTCTCATTGATGGTCTTTTTTTGTTCACTTTAGGACCTAAAATAGGAAACAAAATCATTATGCAGATTTTACTTAGCTCTTTCTTCTAACCAAGTTCCAAGTACGAGCATTATCTGTGCAGAGGAGTTCAGTTTCCTTTACCTACAAGAGAAGGAAAGAAAGAAAAAGGAAAACATGTAATAACTATAGGATGAATTATGAGCAATCAATGTAAGGGAATTCTGTAGGATTTAACCTGGATAATCATATTCATCTTTCAGCAGAATCAACTACTGAAGGTTCCTTTGTTTTTTATTTTGTTTTTTGAGACAGGGTCTCACTACATAGTTCAGGCTGGCCTTGAACTCACTGTGTAGTCAGGCTGGTGTCAAATTCATGGTGATGCTCCTGCCTCAGCCTCCTGAGTGCTCTCATGTCCAGCCTGAATTTACTTTGGATTGTGCCTATTTTCTAGTAAAACTGTTCAATCAGAACTAGAAATCAGCCTTATCCATTCTTTACATCAAATTTAAGTATTTTAGTTATGATATATCACACAATTTTCAAATGTGAAGGTAAAAGTCAGACGGGGTGGTGCACACCTGTAGTCCCAGCACTCAGGACACTGAGGCAGGACTGTCAAGAGTTTGAGGCCACCTTGGGCCATATAGTGTGTTCAGCGGGCTGAGGATTTAGCTCAGTGGTTCTGCCACCAGCCTCAGAAGCACAAGGACTGGAGTTCGATCCCCAGTACCAAAAAACAGACAAACAAACATATAGTGTGTTCAAGGCCAGCCTGGATTACATCGTAAGACCCTGTCTCAAAAAACCAGAAAAAAAAAGGCAATTTTTTTTTCTTGATAGGGTCTATGTAGTTCAGACTGGCTTTGAACTTACTACTTGTAGCGCAGGCTGACCTTGAACTCATGGCAATCCTACTGCCTCAGCCTACCAAGTGCTGGGACTACAGGTGTACCCTACTATGCCTGGCTCAAAGTAAAGGTAGTTTTTACAAACACACAAGACTGAATACTGCACTGAGGTTTCCAAAGCCTGGTGAGGATGTGGGGGAAAGGAGGAGGGAAAGTCGGTGGTTAGTGAGTACAGGAATATGGTTGGAAAAGAGTAATTTCTAATCTGCTATAAAGCTCAGTGGGATAACTGACATTTGACAGTAATTGTGTATCTCAAAATAACTAGAAGGATTTTTACAAAGAAATAGTAAATGTTTGAGGTGATGGATATGTTATACATGTACTAAAATGCTATACTATATCTCATAAATAAGTATAATTATTATGTGTCAATTCAAAAGTGTATTAAAGCAGAATGACCAAAAAAAGAAAAGGAAAAAACTATGAACTGCACAAATTTTAATTTTTTTTTGTTGTTGTTTTTTGGTTTTTTTTAGACAGTGTCTCACTGCAGAGTTGAGAATGACCTGGAATTCACTATGTAGCCCAGGATGGTCTCGAACTCACAGTGATCCTCCTGCCTCAGCCTCCTGAGTGCTGGGATGACAGGTATGCACCACCACGCCCGGCTGAAATTTTAATTTTTTGAATGGTTTAAGAAGCTCAGAAAGATTTTAGACTTCCAGAGTCAACACAACAATTGCTAATTATCATTGTATAATGGAATGAAATTTCTAATAATTGTGCTGTGATTTTCAATTTGGCATCCAGGAGAATTTCTAGTAATGTAGTTGTTACCTGCTGTGGAAGCAGAAGACACATTCGGTTCACATGCACCTACAGCCTGGATACTGTTCTGCAGAATGCTGACCTGAAGAAGCAAAAAGGGCATGGAAGTAGTCTTCCTCTAAGTATGAAGTTTTACCCTTTAGCCTTAGTTGTACAGATCCAACGCTATTTATAAATTAAATTGTTCAAGATTGATTTAATCATATGTGGATGTTATACATGCAATAGGTAACATGGGCAAAGAAATTTTTTTTAAAGTGCCGGGGATTGAACTTGGGTCCTTGTGCTTGCAAGGCAGGCGATGGAACCACTAAGCTAAATCCCTGGTCCTAGCAAAGAATTTTTAGATAAAATCCACTGTTAATTATATAAACTAAAAACTTAAGATTGTACAACTATTTAGCAAAACATGTTTAAAAAGTACTCTTGGAACCATTTTTAGGAAAGTAATAGAAGTACAGAAATATGGGGGCTGGGGATTTAGCTTAGTGGTTCCACCGCCTGCCTCACAAGCGCAAGGTCCTGAGTTTGATCCCTGGTACCAAAAAAGTGCAGAAATATGCATATGTAGATATGAATAAAAATGCTATTAAGCAAGATGGGGTGGTGCACGCCTATGATCCCAGCACTCTTGAGACACTGAGTAACTTAGTAACTTAGCAAGACCCTGTCTTCAAAAAAAGACTATTAAGGCGGTGGGTATAATCTCCAATCCCAAAAAGAAAAAGTCTATAGAGAAATTAAATTATCTCTAAAGGGGAAAAAATGGAAACAGCACCTACATATAGGCACATACACAAATACGTCTATATGAATAGAAAAAGAGCTAGAGTACATGTGCTAAATATTAATGTTTATGTCTAGGATTAGAAGAAATGGCCACTTTTATATGATAGATTTCTATACTCTTTATCTACTTTTTTTTTTTTTTTTTT